GAAACAACGGAAAAATAAATAGAATCCTAGCTCGGCTACGTGGGATACTATCCGTTCTTAACACGGTTGGAGCAAAGAACTTTAGCCCAGTTAGGTAAACGAGAGGTTCGTAGCCCAGTTGAAGCTTAGGGTGCAGCATTCTTAGTTCGGTTTTGACTAAGGCATAGAGCTGGTTTGGCCCCAAGTTATAGCTCGGTCGTTGGTTAAGACTTTCTAGTGCGGTAGTGCGTAAACCTAATATAGTTCTCTAGCTCAGCTAAATGAAGCCCCGATTGAAACTACAGGTATGGCGTGACGTTTTAGTCTGATTGTTAGAAGAGTTATCCAGTTTGGCTAGGCTTGCACCTAATACAAACAAGATCTTAGTTCGGTTGGAGTATTATTTTGGATCAAAAGCATCGTTTCTCAGATTGTTCGTGAAACTAGTGGTTCTATTACATGGTCTTTTCCCAGAAAAATGGAAGCTAAAATAGTGTGTTTTGAGAAACATATGAATAGTATGCTACATACTACAGAAACTAGACAAACAAAAAAGAAATGGGATTGAGTTACTTACAGTTTGAAGACGAGAGGATGAAGATCGAGATCGCAAGGAAGAGATTCGCAGGCACTGTGTTTGCAAGAATGAAGGCTCAGAAGAAAGGAGAGAGAGAAGATGAATAATAGAAATGGTTGATTCAAAACGTAGGGTTTTTTGTATAAAGCGTGTGAAAAAGGCGAGACTGTTCAAAATTCACGAGATACGAAGTAGGCATCGACAATTGTGCTCAACCAATAGGGGCCAGCCACGTGTCTATGGGAATAGCAAGCGATTCAGAAGCACAACATGACTGAAGAGACGTTTTTTTGACCGGGCAAATCGGTAGGCCGGTGGCAATTTAGCTCAGTTAAAGATCTGAAGTTTTAGCTCGGCTGGTAACAGATAATCCCAATCATGCTACGTAGATGGAATTAAGAGGCAATTGAGAGGGAGTTTTTATGTGCATTAGGGCCGAGCTAGGCCCAGGCGTAGTAATGGGCCGTGGTAAAAAAGGCTTAGCAAAATGGATCTTGTTGTTAGCTCGGTCCAAGTAAGTTTACAATCACCATGGTTGGAGTAGTGATAATTAGCTCGGTCGTAATATTCGGAAATGAGGTATTTGGGCTTCCTGTGGAGGACCTTGCTCTTGTTAGCTCGGTCGAAGCTAGGTATAATTAGCTCGGTCTCAACAGGTTAAAACCGGGGTATAAGTAAAAGAAGAGCCGAGCTACGAGTTGCATGTGAAGGCAGTGGATCAAGTATGACAAAGGGCTAGTGTTAGCTTGGTCGTACTGTCATCCAACCATGGTAAAACCATCTCACTTGGATTAAGCAGTAAGGAGGGTGTTGAAGGATAAGTATTATCTTCTAGGAGTGTGATTCCTAGGAGGACTCTACATGGAGGAATAAGGGTCCTACTAGGATTGAGCCACGCGGAACCTATAAAAGTTCACAACATAACCTAAGTACAGGTAACATAACTTTGATTCCCGAATACATAGAGCTTTTGTCTATTTGTCTATTTTGCTGACTTAGGCATCAGAGAGGTATTCGGCACACACCCACCGGCTAGCTCATGTTTGTGTTTTCAGGGAGTAAAACGACAACGTTTAGAGGAGCGCAGACTTGATCAATAAGATTATACGAGAACATTATTTCGTGCTCGTACAGAAACAATCTCTATTAAGATGAATAAGTTTTTTTTTGTGTATAACGGAAAAAGAATGCAAAATGAGAGAAAAATAAGATATATATATATATATATATATTACTAGGATATAAAATGATCTATATTTATTTTTAAAATGTTATGATAAATAGTATTTTTCATGAAAATAAGAAAGACACCATAGTCTTCTTTTAGTTATGTTCCTGCCTAGAACTCTTTTACGAATCGAAGTTGTCAAATTGTGTAATTTATATACACATACACACACGCATTACATACAATTTTTAATTAGATAGGATAATTACGGAAATTATTTAAAGCAGAACATTATTTCGTGCTCGTACAGAAACAATCTCTATTAAGATGAATAAGTTTTTTTTTGTGTATAACGGAAAAAGAATGCAAAATGAGAGAAAAATAAGATATATATATATATATATATATTACTAGGATATAAAATGATCTATATTTATTTTTAAAATGTTATGATAAATAGTATTTTTCATGAAAATAAGAGAGACACCATAGTCTTCTTTTAGTTATGTTCCTGCCTAGAACTCTTTTACGAATCGAAGTTGTCAAATTGTGTAATTTATACACACATACACGCACACATTACATACAATTTTTAATTAGATAGGATAATTACGGAAATTATTTAAAGCAATTAGAGAGAATAATTTAAATAATTTGTAACAATTATCATATTTTGAGGCGTTTTTGAAAAAAAAAAATAATAATAATAAAAAAAAAATCTCTGTGACATCTATACCAATAGAAGTATTTGATTTCACTAAGACGTTGGTTCCATAGATTAGAATCAACTAACAACAATCTGAAAACAACTCCTGCCACATTTGGTAACACTAGGGTTATTTGGCCTAATAGTTGTGCAATATTTTTAGTTGTGTGATATTGCGAGTTCAATTATTATGAAAATGAGTTTGATAATTTTTATAGTGGTTTATTTCTCTTTCATTATAAGAATTGTACGTAATTAGTAGTGGTTATTAGACTTGGTCTTGGTGGGATTGGTTTATTGGCTATTAGGCATTATTGACTTTCTAACTATTATGAGCTATTGGTGATATAAATATTTATCATATTTATAATTAATCTTCTATCTATTGACAAGAAGAAGAAAAAAAATCTACTAAAATGGAAATTCAATTATGCAATATAAAATGTAACTCAATATTCATTTTGAATTAGACTTCTCTTCCATTGATTGGACGGTCTAATCAAAAAAATGTGAGAGGTATGGACTTCACCATGAGTCTTATAAGAAATTATCGTATGAGTTAAGAAGATATGATTAAATTTCACCGTGAATTTTACAAGAAATTATCATATGAGTCAAGAAAATATGATTAGATTTCTCTTCGGTTGATTGGATTGTCTAATCACAAAACTAAGAGGGGCTGTGGTGGGCTCCACTATGAGTCTCACCAGAAATTATTGTATGAGTTAAAGAAAACTATGGGGTCAAATATGCCCATTTAATATTGTATTGTCATTCATTTACTATTTTCTTATTTTTATGTCCATGTAATTATTAGGTCCCTACTATTAATTGAATACACCGCTAGCACGAAATTCGTAAAACAACAAGATAATTACTCGAGTCCCGCCTCTCACAGTTTTTGGACTAGATTGGACAACGAACAGGATAGAAGCACAATTCAAACTGAATATTCTCCTTTAGTGGAGTAGTAGAACCCTGCAAACAAACACTACTTGGTTCCATATTAGTTAATTATACCCACTCTGCATTGGGCCCAACCCAACCCGACCCACTCTCTTTCTTGGGCCTCACATATGGGCCAGAAGAAACCCGCGCGAAAACACCAAAGAAAAACAGGAACGAAACAAAAAACAGTTACAAACAAAACGGTCAATTGAAAGAAAGACAAATATGAAGAACTAAGAAAGAATGAAGGGATTTGTCAGATCGATCAATTCGAGGTTGTAAAGGCGAGACAATGAAATTTTATCTGAAAAACTCCGGAGTCAGTGCCTCGGTAGATCCAAACAAGAAAAGTACAATGTGATACAAGTAAAACAGATTTAACCAATCAATTTATACTCAACTCTGTTTCTTCCCACACCCAAGCCTCCACTTATTCCAGGTAACTCTCTCTCTCTCTCTCTCTCTCTACTAAGTGTGGGCTTGTTTGATTACTGAGAAAATGTGTGTTTCTTAGAAAAATATGTGAAAAGAAAACTTGTGATCTTCCATCTATACCTTCTTGAAACAGCAAAATTGCTCTTTTTTTTTCCCCTCTTTATTGAACAAGAAATCAACGTAAGATTTACAATTTGGTGTGGTTTGATAAAGTTGTCAGTTTGGCGTTTTCTGTTTACAAAAAGAAAAAAAAAAGTTTTGGTTTTTATTTATTTATTTATTTTTCTTGAAACAGCAAAATTGCTCTTTTTTTTTCCCCTCTTTATTGAACAAGAAATCAACGTAAGATTTACAATTTGGTGTGGTTTGATAAAATTGTCAGTTTGGCGTTTTCTGTTTACAAAAAGAATAAAAAAAAAAGTTTTGGTTTTTATTTTTTTATTTATTTTGTAATAAATGAAAAACATTATAAAAAATATATTTGATGAGTTGTTGGAGGTAGCGGTTGGTAGTTGAGGGTGGACAGGTGTGATAGCTGGTAGTGGGGGTGGCCAAGGTTGGCTGATGGAATTGGTGGTCGAAGTGTTGCCGGAGGTCATGGGGTGACCAGAGGGCTGCCGGAAAGTGGATGAAGGTCATGGGCGGAGACCGGCTGGTTGCTGGAGCTCATCAGCTGGCTGGAGGTGGGTGGTGGCCATTGGCAGTGATGGGTGGTGGCTGGAGGTGGTGGGGAAGGAAGGAGAGAGTGAAAACTAGTATGAAAACAGGCGAATACTTTTTTTTTTTTCCAAAAAAATTAATTTTTTTTGAAATTTTGGAATTAGTTGCACTTCTTTTTAAAACGAAAACAACATAACAAACAAGTTTTCGTTACCAAAGTGGTTGAGTCATGAGGTATTTTATTTTGTACTGTCTTTTTTTTGTTTTTGTTTTAAAATCTGTATTGTTTCTCACTTCCCTAACCTATCCACAGGCGAATACTTTTTTTTTTTTCCAAAAAAATTAATTTTTTTTGAAATTTTGGAATTAGTTGCACTTCTTTTTAAAACGAAAACAACATAACAAACAAGTTTTCGTTACCAAAGTGTTTGAGTCATGAGGTATTTTATTTTGTACTGTCTTTTTTTTTGTTTTGTTTTAAAATCTGTATTGTTTCTCACTTCCCTAACCTATCCTTAAAAATCTGATAAATATGACATTCATGACTTGCAGATTAGCTATATTTTGAATTTCTTTCGATTCAAAATGGATTGAATTAGTTCAAGTTTCATCATCTCTTTTTGGCCAAAAAACAAAAGACGATCCGATGAAAAACTGGTCTACCAGCAGCACTGATGTAAGTTGTAAATTATGAATTATGTTTATTTATTTAGCAATTTAGGGCTACAACTTAGATCCTGATATAGCGTCTGGCAGTTTCGGCTTGAATTCAGATCATTCTCTGTGAATCAAATTTTAGTGTTACCGGAAACACAACAAAATGAAGTTGGTAAAGCTTTTAAACACATTGGAACAAATCTTTACCCACAACAACATGAATGAATATATGATAGATAGGATCCAAAATGTTGTACTGATATATATGATTCACATGAGTTGAGAAATTTCTCAGTTTGCTAGATCTTAGTTTTAAAATCAATTCAACCGTTATTGAAATAAAATTCAACATTTAACTATTCAATGCATGAAATAATACCCAAAATTCTATGCACCCAGAAAAATTCCTAGAAAATGAATTATGTTTTTACATTTATGCGCAAACTCAGCATAAGGCTTGACTTCGGATCCTTCTCTATATTCAAATTTTAGTCTCACTGGAAACAAAAGGAAACTAAGTTATTTAAGGGTTTAATACATCGGAACAAATCTTTACTCCATGTGACATGGAAAAATAGATGATCAATAGGGTCTAAAATGTTGTACAAATACACATCACACACTAGTTGAGAAATTTATCATTTTGCTCAATCTTAGCTTTAAAATCAATTCAATTGGTAACATAAAACGATTCAACATTTAACTATTCAATGCAAGAAAAAAATACTATGTACCCAAAAAAATACCTAGAAAAGTGCGCAGAATATGAATTTTGTTTGTACATTTCTTCACAAGATGCTGATAATGATCGTTAATAGTTTTGTGAGCATTGCCATTTTTTTGTACTTGTAGGAGCTTGAGAAAGAGAAAATAGCAGATGAACTTTCCGCCCTGATGGAGAATTCCGAGTTTGAGAAAGATCTATCGACCAATACAGGCAGAGAAGTTATGACGGGGATAGAAAAACTTGAGTCCAAGATGAAAAAGATGGAAGATCAACTGTATGAAGCCAAAAAGATCCGAGAGCAGCTTTCTCATGTTACAAGTGAGTTAAAGACTACACGAGCAATCGTACTAAGCGTTGAGACAAAACTAGAAGCTGCCATAGATGCAAAGCTCGAGGCATTGAAACAGACAGAACTAAAGGAAACTGAATTACAAATTGAAAAGGAAAAGAACAAATCGCTTTTGATGCGTGTATCAGAGATCAATGAAACTATTATGCACTCGAGGGTCGCTGCCATTGAAGCAGAGAAAGAGAAATTTGTTGTTTTATCAGAAAAAGAGGCCAAGATAGAGTTAGAGAAAGCAATAGCACTTGAAGCCGAGGAAAAGTTGGAATATATGAGAAAAGAGTTACAAGTCTTGGAGGATTTGGAGAATCAGATCATGGTTAAGTCCAAAGCTATTGAATCGCTAAAGGTGGAACTAAACCAGGCTAATGAGCTACAACAATTATCTGAGAAAGCTGCTCCTGACGCCATTAATGAAATAAATCAGTTAAAATCAGATTTAGAAATGCAAGAAAGAAAGAACATGGATCAATCGGACTACGTTGAATTATTGGAAAATGAAGTGAATAAGTGTGCTAAAGAACTTAAAACAGCAAAGAAAGAACTGCATTGCCTGGATTCGTATTATGAGACTACAAAAATTGAGTTAAAGAATGCAAAAATTGAGATGAAAGAGATTACAGAAAGAGAAACAGAAGCACGGGTTGAGATATCAACGCTGAAATCCGAGCTTGAAAAGGCCAAGAAAGAGAACCAAAGTCTTGAAGAAGAATCTAAAAACTCTGCCATTGTCAACCCCCAACATGACAACTCTTGTAAACATACTAACAATGGCTGTGTCATGATGTCGAAGGAGGAGTACGTGGCACTGATTGGAAAGGCGGCGAAGGGGGAGAAGGTTGTACAGAATTCTGAAAGCGGGTGCGAATTGGGGATATTGAAGAAAGAATTGGAGACAATGAGTGTGAAAGTGGGGGTGTTGAGGACGAGGGCAGCGCAGGCAGCGAGCAGAGCTGAGGTGGCGGAGAAAGGGAAAGCGGAATTGGAGGATCAGATGAGGAAGTGGAAAGAGCAGAGGGAGAAGAGAAAGGCTGCATTGGCTGCACTCAAAGAGGAGTCAATTTCCAAAGAAAGTAGTACTAGTAGTGGTTTTGAATATGAACAAGAGGTTCCTAAAACATATGTGCCTTTGGCTAAGGTGCTCAACTTGAAATTTTAGTTTTATTTGGTTTTGCAAGAATGTTGTGTACAAAGGACTGTCTCAGTGTCACTTCCAATGCGAGAAACTCTTGTCATTGGGGGGCGTTTGGTAGGGTCAGATGTACGCAACTTTATAAGTCTATGTAGAAAGCTATGTATTCTAAGAGGATTAGTGTTTTTACACTCTTCCTATTCCATATTCATTATTATAGAACTTTCAATTTAGACCTCAATGAGGTGCGCTGATTTCACCACCATATTTTGTGTCAACCCAGAAGAGAGAGAGAAAAAATACATTTGTCATGGTTGTTGGCATAAATTTTCTGCTATTTTGTGGTTTTTATTTTTAAGAATTGGATGGAGGTAAAAGGGGAAGCAAAACTGAATCAAATAGTAGGATAGGCTCAAATCTATACATCATACCTAATAAGGGAGCACTTCATTCAAGTTCACCTATGGTCCTAAATTTTTTGGTATGTTGGGGCAGCAATTTTAAGAGAACAAATTGCAAAGCAATTAGAAGTTGAAATTGAGATGTAACCTATGCATGATCTAAATTCAACTCTTGTACAATGAGGCCGACGGTTAAATTAAATCTGAACAACACATTAATTTTTTTTGAATAAAATTTTAGATAAAAGTTCTGAATATATAGCATTCTAAGTATTGATAATTAATATTTATGTCATCAGTGCACTTATCAAGGTGCTTTACTTTAATTTAATTTTTATATTTTTTATAGAGAAATTATAAACACGTCTTCTGAGTTTTACTAATAACATAGATATTGATTTGAAAAATTACAAATATTTCGTTATTCAGGTTTGTCTTCAGCATTGCCAATTAGGGGTATCGGGCCGATAACTTGTCCAACCCAATTCAATATTTTTAAGAATTAGAATAAGCATTCTGGCCCATAAGATTGGATTGGGCTAAGAATTAGAACCTGTTTATATTTTGGGTCAGGTCTGAGATGAGGAATTCTAACCCAACCCGACATTTGTAAAATTTTTATTGTTTGGTTATATAACAAGCTCTAAAAATAAAACGAAAGGTAAATTAAAAAATGAACCATATATATTTTACCTTTGGTTTTATATGAGCTAAATTCATTTGCAATTCAAAAATGAAAGGCAATTGCAATTGAATGTTGTTAATGAGCTGAATTCAAAAGATTATTGAATGGCCAAATTCATTTAATAACCCTCCAAGGCTAAATAAATAACAAATAAATAAATAAATTCATAGGTGAGTTTGAAATTTAAAAATTTATTTAAGGTCAGATTTAAAGATGATTATATTAGGTCTGATGTCAAGTCATGTCAGATTTAGAATGATACATGTTTAATTATTATGTAGTGCAATCCCGACTTGAATTCGACCTAGCTAAGTCGATGCTCACCCTTCCTAATAAAAGAAATTTAAAATTACTTAAATATCCTCTAATGCCAAAACAAAAATCCCTATTACCAATTTTTCTTGTTAAAATTCCCAACATATATGTGAAGGTGACTTATTTCTCATTTGAATGTGTTTTTATTTTATGTTTTTCCATAATTTGGAAAACACTAAAAATTTGTTCAGCGAAGTATTTTCAAATTTCTTTTTCATAATTTTTTTTTTATTTAAAAAAAACAACTCACTTGTGAAGAAACAACAAAAAATAATTCTTCAAAAATATTTTTGCACGAAAATGAACACTACAGAGATTCTCGAACTTTATCAATATTTTTTTCTCAAACTTACAAAAAACAAGACTAAAAATAAATAAATAAATAAATAAAACACAACAAAGGGGTTCAACCATTTGAAAATTTTGATTTTTAAATCTTCTTGGTGTGTCTTCTCCACCACAATCTTGGTGCACACTTTGAATGTGGACAAATTACTAAGCTTTTGATTTTGCTTCAAAAATGTTATTTAAATGCCGGCTTGCTTTCGCTCTCTATCTCTATATAGTCTATATATATTTTCTATAACTATAATTATACAATCCGGCAATCTAAAATTTAGTTAATGTAGGTTTTGGCGTGTAAGCATAGTTATGTTGCTTAGTCTTCCAACATTGTACATATTATATTTATTAACATTAAGGCATTGTTTGTCATCTCTTAAAAAAATTAAAAGTCAAAAAGTCACTATCCTATTTAAGTCACATCATCTTATTTAAGTCATATCGCCTCTCTATCACATCACTTCAAACCCAACTCATATTTCTAAAAAATTTAAAAAGTGCGCTTATTTAGAATATCCCAAACAATTCCTAAATAATCCAATAGTTGAACGGAAACCCAAATGACAACTATTTCTTTCAAATACCTATACTCAACATCTCTACATCGTGGGCCTTTCTTCAACAAAATTATAACCTAAAAAAAAAACTCTATGCATAATCTGAATTCAGGATAGGAATGGTAAAGGAACTGAGTTGTTTTTGAATAATATGAGGTTGGCTCGTTTATAACTTGTTTGAGTTCATCTGATTTTGTGTTTGAGCATTGCTTGAGTGAATTTGAGTTCAACTTTCAATTTGAGCTTGACAAAAGTTTAACTAGCTCTGGACTCAAGTTTGTTAGATTATGTATTTGAGCGTTTAAGTCTGAATTCAAGCTCAATTAATAAATTAATTGAGCTCGAACATTATATTTCTCAGCCAGCTTAGCTTGGTTCGATTGGATTTAGCCCTAGTTTAGGTAAATTAAGTACAAACTTCATGTAACTTATCTCCAAAATTGAGACATAGGGATGAGCAAGGAATCCGTGAAATCCGTAATCCGATCCAGTCCAGTCAAATCCGATAGGTAATTGTCTCAATTAAAGTCAAATTTCATTTAGATGATATGATTTTACAAGATGACACTACACCCTTTGGCGTCCTCTTTCATATATCATTTTAGTTCAATGTTTGTGTGCTCCTGTGGAATTGGTATCAGGGTCTGAGCTGTTTTTCTAATTTTTATTGTTATATATATTGCAAGCTTGAGGTGAGGCCTTACCAATTAAGCTTGATTTGTTTGACATGAAATTATTTTTCTATATTTGACTTATATATGTGTGTGCGTGTGTGTGTGTGTGTGTGTGAGAGAGAGAGAGAGAGAGAGAGAGAGAGAGAGAGAGTTATTGGCAATCTAGGCGTGCTGAAGTTAAATAGGCAAGTCTTGTATTAGGTATAAGATTATCTATTTGTTACATCATCTATACCCTACAATTAAGGTATGGAAATTAGTTAACTAGGGCACTCCCTTTCTCATAGCTTTTTGTGAAAGGTTTGAATTTTGAATTTGTTGAGCAATATATATGGCTAATATAAGATTACTCAACCTTTGAGTCAAGTTATATGCTCATCAGCTTGGAATCGAGTCTCTAAAATTCTTTTTACCATCCTCCCTTTCCTTCCTGGATCAAAAAATAAAATTAAATAAAGATTTGTCAAAAAAAAAAAAAAATTGAAAATATTCATTTATATTCAAAATTAACTATTTAACATTTTCTAAAAAGTGAGTGTTTATAAAAAAAAAAAAAACTATTTTTTATTTGAAAATAGTTCTCCAAATAAAAAATAGAAAACAAAAACACAACCAAAAAGTGTCGTTTGATAAAATTTACAATTGGTTGTTTTTTTGTTTATAGAAAACAATAAATATGATTATATTTATTTTTAGTATTAAAAAAATCATGTTTGGTACATATTGTTTTCAATTTTTGTTTTGAAAGACATTTTTGGTACACAGGTGGCTGTTGATAGTCACAAATTATGGGCGGATGTGATTATTGGTCAGTTAAAGATGATTGGCAGTGGCCAGAGGTGGTTGTCAACTATTGAAAGTTGTTACCGGCGATCAGAGATTGTAGCCGATAGTCGAAAGTGGTTTCTAGGCAAAGGCAGTAGCCATAGGTGGTTGTCGAAGGTGTGAGGTGGTGACTAGAGGGGTTGTCAAAGGTCATCGACGATGGTGGCTGGAGGTAGGGGTGACTCATGACCAGTGGGTGGAGGGGATATGAGGAGAAAGAAATTATTATTATTATTATTTTAAACAAGTGAAATCAACTTTTTATGATTATAAAAATTTAGTAAATTTTGTAAACAATTTTCAAGATTTTGAAAATTAGAATTTTCAAAAATTTTGTAAATATAAATAGAAAATTATAAATATAGATATTATCAAAAAAATTATTTAGTATTCTTTTTCTTGGCTATTCTAAGATTCAAATATAATATTCTAGGAAGCACAAGAAACAAGCATGTCAAATTATGTGGTAGAGATTAAAATAAAATGTTAGGGATACTAACGCATTTATTAATAATCTTACTAACACGCTCACAAATTGATGTGAGTATCATATCTAGTGATAGTTGATCTTATCAAAACATGTGAGTGTATTAGTAAGAAGTATAGCTCCCCTCCACATTTTTATCCTCTATACTTCTTCATACTTCATTTTTTGGGCTCTATTCTGGGCCCACAATGATAATCTAAACTGTTTATCTTATAAATTTCACAATAAAGACTATCTGTGAAAAAAAAATCAGCTTCATCAAATATTGATGAATTCATAAACAAATCACTTTTTATTTTATAGAATGAAAGGTTTAAGTTTAAATTTACAATTACTATAAATTTTAAAAAATAAGATGTCATTTATTCATATATCTAGTGATATTTGATGAAATTAATTTTTTGCTTACCTAGTGATAGTTGATCTTATTAAAACATGTGAGTGTATTAGTAAGGTGTATAGCTCCCCACCATACTCTTATCCTCTATACTTCCCCATATTTCATTTTTTGGGCTCCATTCTAGGTCCACAATAATAATCTAAACTATTTATCTTATAAATCTCACAATAAAGACTGTCTGCGCAAAAAATCAGCTTCATCAAATATCAATGAATATGTAAACAAATCACTTTTTGTTTTATAGAATGAAAAGTTCAAGTTTAAATTTACAATTATTATCCATTTTAAAAAATAAGATGTCATTTATTCATATATCTAGTAATATTTGATGAAATTAATTTTTTGCTTAACTCATCTAAATTATTGGGATTACGAGATGAACGGTTTAAATTATTAATGTAGGTCTAGAATGAAATCCAAAAAATAAAATATGAAGGAGTACGAAAGATAAAAGTATAGAGGGGAGTCATTCCCGATAATAAAATTGTTAATAAATGTGTTAGTATCCCTAATTTTGTTGTTAAAATAAAAAGGCTTATGTATGGATGCAATTAATCTTGAGACATGA